AGGTGAACTGCAGTGATGAAAAGCTCTCCGTGGCTAGCTAACAGTCTGCTAACATGTTTTTTGTTGCTTAGACGGGCGTTGACCTGACTAAAGACAACATGGCCCTCCAAAGGGTGAGAGAAGCATCAGAGAAAGCAAAGTGTGAGCTTTCTTCATCTGTGCAGGTAGGTGGCTGGGCTCAAAGAACTGTTCTGGTTATTTTTGTTTCCAAAACTCTGAAGTAGCTGCTTTTCTCCTGTGCTGTCAGCTCAAGCTTCTGTTTAATCAAACAGCATTGGTTTAAATGCAAGTTTTCTTCCTCAGGACAGTCTCAGTGTCTGCTGAGGAGCAAAATCAGTTGTTAGAAGTGAATAATGATAATGGATGCTGCCTTTTGCTTGTGTTCTGACACCACGTTTGTTCATTGTGCAGAGAATATGACCTTGTTCCCAACTCCCATGTTACGGAAGTATGATGGGCAGTAGGGAATTGAGCTGCAGTTAGTACTTCTGTGTGATGGGAGGTACTTAGGGCTCTGTGCAAGCAGCTCCAAAACCTTGTGGTGCTGCTCGCACCACTGAAACAGCTAATTTGTCTAATAGCAAGGAATAATTTCTATAAAGAATCTTATTTTCCACCAGAAGGGTTGCTTAAACAATGAGCAGCATATACACCCTTTCCTTTTCACCCATTTTGTATCTTAATGTATTCAAGTTTGTCCTTTATTCACTAGTGAATAAGGAGCTGGAGAAGCAGCAAGCTGGGGGTGTAATCGTGCTGAAGTGAAATTAAGGTCAATTATATAGTAATTGAAATGGGGGCTCTGCCAATTTCTAGGTTCTGAATAAACATTATTTTTTTGTTGGCCAGTGGGGAGCTCATAGCAAGGAGTTTAGGCCAGTCACAATGGGTGCATAGTTCTGCCAGAGACATAGCAGGCTCTGTTTGAACTGGCTTGAGAGCTGGCAAATGCAGGGAAAATGCTGGCAAATACCAGGAAAACTGAGTTCCGCAACTCCTTGGTGGTGAAGGGAAAACAGCTCACTGCTGGCCCTGTCCTCCCTGGTATTTCTGAGCAGGCCATTTACAAAGTGAATGCGCACCTCTAGCCTGTGGCATGGGTGTAGTTCTTGTTCTGGGAAGTTAAATCTCTAGAGCTTAAACGGTTTTTGTAGTCCTGATGATGTCATCATGATTCAGCACTTGAAGATGACTTCAGTGTAAGACTTGATTTTAAAATCCAGGGTGTGAATTTCAAAGATCATGCACAAATAACAATGAGAAACAGGGACGGTGGCCCATGGCACTGAACGTTTGGGTTAAATAGCAGTGGGCTAGTTGTCAGACAAGCTGCTTGCCTTTAAACAACGGTCACGAGTTAGTTCCTTTGGGCAGCTTACCTTGTATGAAGTGTTAGGTAGTTGGGAGCAAAGTCTGGCTGAAAATGAACTTCTGTGTTGTGCTGGAGGGAGGGAAATAAGGTTGTAACTTCACAGGTTTCAGCTCTTACTTCCTACCTATGATAGAAATTAAATGCTGCTTACAACCACTAGTGAAAAGATGGTTTAATCATTACTTCCTTTATAACACTGACAAACTGTGTGCATAAACCACAATGACACAAGCTGTGAAGAGCAAGAGAACGCTTCTTCCGTGACCATGAGGGACTTCAGAGTAACACGGAGTATTAAAATTGGTACTTAACAGTTGTAACTGTGAGATGTGTAACAAAATCTTACTTACCTCTTGTCTGAAATGTAAAATACAAACATACCTGCTGCCAGGTGGGGACTGGGCTTTGAGTGCACAGGCACGTCGATGTTTTAGAGCAGGCAGAACAGAACCTGTAGCTTGGTCTGAAACCTGTGTGGGGCTGCCTTGCTTTCTGTGTGTGCTTTTCACACTGTCTGTTTTTGTGCTGCAGACTGATATCAACTTGCCATACCTTACTATGGATGCCTCTGGACCAAAGCACCTGAACATGAAGCTGAGCCGCTCGCAGTTTGAGGGCATCGTGGCTGATCTGATCAGAAGGACGGTAGCGCCGTGCCAGAAGGCCATGCAGGATGCCGAAGTCAGCAAGAGTGACATTGGTGAAGTCATCCTTGTCGGTGGCATGACCAGGATGCCGAAGGTATGAGATAATGTCCCCGTTACGGGCCCGGCTGGCACAGCTACCAGTGCTGCTGCTGGGGGTGATCTATTACGGAAAAGTTCAGGGTCTGGGCACTTCAAGGCTCTGGCCATTGAAGGCCCCCAGGAGCAGAGCAGACGTGCTTGGTAGTCCTATGAAAGCAGTGCCAAGGGACTCCTCCTCCTGCAGCTCAGCTGGGGGTCGTAGCTGAGTCACAGTTTAAAAAGGCAAGTGGGAGGTATCAGGATTTGAAAACTCATCCTGGTTTCCTGATTTTTGTGGACCAAACACCAGCAGTATTGCTGAGATGTGCAGTGTGTTTTTTCTGCAGAATTCAGCATGTGATAAAGGTCCACTTCAATGACAGTAACCTCTCGGTAATCTCTGGCACCCACGAGCTTTCCTCGCCTGTGCAGGGCACTTGCAGCTAGCTCTGAAGAAACCTCAGAAGCACAACTATCCAGTTACCTGCTGCTTGGGTGTGTTTGTCTTTACTCGAGGCGGTGCTGGCTGTTGTCAGGCACACTTAATCGGCTCTTCTCAGTGCTCATTACCTAACACCTGGACCTGGCGTTCTGGTGATAAGCACCACATAACTTAAAAGCTTTCTCTGCTGACATGTACAGTCTTGCAGATAAGGTGCTCTCTTCTGGTAATTTGCCGTTTTTATTCATAGCAATGCAGACTGTTAGCTCCCCTGAAGTCAGTGCTGAACATGTATGTGCGCTGCTGCCTTCAAGGGTACGGCTTATCCTTTTCTGCAGAGATCAGCAAAACTTCATTCCACAGGAGCTGTCAGGCTCGGACAGCTTGTTTTGCAGTTACTGCTTGTGATTGACAGGTCTTTGCTAGGATAATACATTGTGCATGGTCCTGCCTGGGGTTTTTAGTCCCTTTTTTTTTTCCTCTCTCCCCATTCCGATGTGTTACGTGAGCCTTGGGGGCTGCAGGTGATGTTAGTGTCTCCAGAAGGTCACCCGGGCAGCGGAACCAAAGGGATGAGATAAGGAAAAGGTGCTGCTCTGGCCAAAACTCAAATGGAATAACTGTGCTAAACCTTCCCAAAGGCCCTACCAGTCCAGTTGGGTAGAAGAAAAATGGTGAACTGTCTGTGAAGTGAGGAATAAAGTGAGGAAAATACTTCTGGAAGTGGGGAAGCCCTTCCTGAAACCTTAAGTATCCTTTAAGGGTGGGAGACAGCACATAAATACTCCCCTCACCTTGTTTATGTCCCGTGCTCATGGCTCTGAGGTTATATAAGGCTTTCCTGCGTGCCCATAGCCAGGGTGAGAGCTCTGGCTCCAGGATCAGTGCCCGTATGTTGTGCATAGCACAGAGTGTTCCCTCCTGTGTTGTTGTTTGCTAGGAGGGAGCTCGCCTGCTTTGGAGCTCACGTGGCCAGTGCTGCAGGAAACATAAAGTGGGTGGTTAGAAGTAATGGCTCTTTTGTGCTGTAAAATATGCCTCCGGAGGGAAAGACTTGCACTTAATTATATGTTCATGCACAAAGTGTCTTCCTCTGCAGGGAGCGCTGCCTGCAAATGTCTCTTGGCTCGCACACGGAGTCGGACGCTTGCTTACAGCGCGGTTTGCCAGGCACATGGTGCTCACCTGTGCAGATGTTTGCCTGCTGAGCGCGCTCAGAGAGGCAGGATGCTGTGAACAGGAACCAGGCTTCACACCCTTCTCAGCAGGGGAGAGAAACGGGCTGCTGAGCTGCGGCTCTCAGTGCATTCCCTTCTGGGTACTTCAGCAGTAAATCTGTTGCAATCATGAGCACATCATTCCAAAGGGGCAGAGCAGTGAAAAGCTAATAACACAGCTCAAACCGTCTGCTGACATAGCAATCTACCTCTCTGGTGAAACAGCCCATTAAATAAAGAGTTTGAAAACGCTGCCCTTCATACACTTTAATTTTTTTCTTTATTACATGCAAACAAGATGAACTGTCCTTCTGCTCTGGAGACAGAGCACAGGGAAGGTCAGAAACCCAGAGTTGTGCTGTCCTTGGCAGCTGTGTTCTGCCTGCTGCTGGCTTGTACAAGTTCCAGGGGAGCAGTCCTCGGCTCCTGCGTGATAAACATGGGGTGATCCCTCCTGAATGAGGCTGGGCTATGTGAAAGGACCAATGCAGGTGGGGTGCACAGGTTGATGGGCAGCTGGAGAGCTTGACTGCAAGAAAATCTCCAGAGAAAAGGTTTTTTAAACTGCAGTAAGTGCATGGAGCAGGGAGCAGGGAATGGTGGATTAGGGAGCAACCACAAGCCTGAGGTTTAGTATTTCTCTCGTGCCACCAGGTAAGATGGCAGCAGGACCCTAAAGACAAAACCTTTGGCCAGGGTTGGGGCGTTCTTGTGGCTGCAGCACCGTGCGGCGATGGCTCGCTCCCCATCTGAGCTGTGCTCTTTCCCCATTCAGGTGCAGCAGACTGTGCAGGAATTGTTTGGCCGCGCTCCCAGCAAAGCAGTCAATCCCGACGAAGCCGTGGCGATCGGCGCGGCTATCCAGGGTGGCGTGTTAGCTGGTGACGTTACCGACGTGCTGCTGCTGGATGTGACTCCCCTCTCCTTGGGCATCGAGACCCTGGGAGGAGTCTTCACCAAGCTCATCAACAGGAATACCACCATACCAACCAAGAAGAGCCAGGTACGAGTGGGCTGTGTCCAGCAGAGGTCTGAGCACCGAGCAAGGCTGCCCAAAGCATCCCAGTCGATAGTCTTCTCTCCTCAGCTGGCAAAAAGAAGCAGCTTTGGAGTCAAGGTTTAGTGTCCGCCCATGAGTATCTCTGCTAATTGTTAGCATGCCCAAAGGAGGAGGATAAAATCGAATCCCTGTGTGCCAAGATATCCCGGGGTGTCTGCAGCCTGCTCAGGATTGCAGCGTGCGTGTGCCATGATGTAACTGTCAACACATCATCCTGAAGGATCGTGTGGAGACCTTCTGTAACTGAGCACCGCGCCCATCTGAGACCTCCTTTCTTCATCTGTGTGCCTTGGAACCTTTTTTTCAGATGTTTTCTTGTACTGTGGGCCACTAGCAGACTTGGGTGTGATCCTTTCTCTCGCTTTGCCTTGGCTGGCTCTCCTGGTGTGTGCTCCTACTGATAACACTCGTTCTCTGTGGTGTGGGGCAGGGACAGGAGTCTTGTTGCTTCAGGAGGAAGCGTTCTGGTAATGTGGCTGCCTGCCAGCGACCAGAGCCTGCTGCTGGCATGGCCTTGCCAGCTTTTGTGTGTTCAAATGCGTATAAGATGAGATGCCAGTGAACTTGGCTGTGGCTACTCTTGGTGCTTTGTTGTTTAGTCAGAGCTTTTTAAAGGAGCAGGAACGCATGAGCAGGAATCAGTTCATGTGGTGCAATTTGCTAGCAGTCCACTAACTCTGTGTTTGTTTTCCACAGGTGTTTTCTACAGCTGCAGATGGGCAGACTCAAGTGGAGATCAAAGTATGCCAGGGGGAGAGGGAGATGGCGAGTGACAACAAACTTCTTGGCCAGTTCACGCTGGTAGGTTGGCTACTTGGTATTCCTGACCTTAATCTTGACCTTCTTTGAGAAGTTCAAAGCCTTCTGCATGTCAGGCGAACCCTGAAGGCAGCGTTAGGGGGCAGTTGTCTTACAGAAGATATTTCACCCTATTTGTAACTTAAAGAAAAAAAGCAGTCCCTGAAGTTAAAGCCTGATGCTGGGACAGCTTTTCAGTGGCAGGGGACCAGCTAGTGTTTAAATTGAGCTCAGAGTTTCCCAGCAGTGCTAGGGGATGCTCATGATGTAGCTTCAGGGCTAGGCGTAGTCACCTAGCAGAGCCTTCTCCGCTTCTGGGCACAAAGAGCTGAAAGAGCTCTGTAGAACCAGACGTGCTCCGCAGATAATCTGAATGCTGGCCTTTCCTCCCCTGTTACAAAGACAAGGCTCAGAGCAGGCTCCAGGCTCGGTGCAGTCCCTATAGAGCAGTCACTTTCCAGCCTGGTACCACTTCTCTTCTGCAAACACGCGTGGATCTGCCCAGCTTCTCGGAGGACAGTTCGGCACTTGGTGTGTGCAGCACGTGGCTGACTGTGGCTCCGTGCACAGAACTGGTTTGTTCAGGTATCAGACAGCAAACTTTGACAGAGCCATTGGATCTTGCTGTTGCTAAGAAGTAGTTCCTAAGGTAGGAGTCTGTATGCTGTTAAATCTGTTCAGATGCTGTTAATTCTCCACGTGGTGCCAACGGGCATTTTGAGGGCTCAGCTCTGAGGCTTAGTTACCAGTTGATTTACCTGGCAGATCACCGAGATGAGGTGCCCAGCGTTGGAGCCTTGCACCCTGAGCTAATGGCTGAGCTCTTCTCCTCCTCAGGTTGGGATTCCTCCGGCGCCACGCGGGGTGCCCCAGATCGAGGTCACTTTTGACATTGATGCCAACGGTATCGTTCATGTGTCAGCCAAGGACAAAGGCACCGGGCGCGAACAGCAAAGTAAGTGCTCCGGGGTGCTGCGTGGGGTGGGAAGGACAGGTGTGGAGCAGGGGGCTGTGCCCTGGAGGGACAGAAATCAGGGACTGGGAATCCTGCACCTTGTCCCTGTGCTGTGCTCCTGGGCACGGTGCTCCTTGTGGAGTGCTCTCTGCCACCACACAGGTGGCTGAGGCCGCTTGCGTGGAAGTGCCAGCTTTTAAGGGAGAAATCAAACTGGGGAGACCCCTGTAGAATCCGAGGCTGAGTACACCACCCTTGTGCTGCCACCCCATTTTGGTTCTGAGGCAAAGATCTTGGAATTCAGGCATATTGAAGCCGCAGGTATTTTGCAAAACCACTTGATTGGCTTTCCTTCGTTTAGGCTGCAAACGTTCCTAAATGGCAGGGGGCTCGGGGACTTCAAGCTGCCAGCACGTTGTGCTCTGTGTGCAATGAAATGTTAGGCCCAGTGTTCTGGGGTAATTAACAGCGTGGTTGACTCTTTCTAAAGCCCTGTTGTGGGCTTAGAAAATTAATTTGAAGCATTTGTAGATTCCCCTGGTACAAATAGATCTCTTTTGTGCCTGTGACTGGGAAGGCTCTATACTGCCCTTCAGTCATTTCTTGGAGGGAATGACTAGAGCAATCAGATGCATGCTCCAGTTAAGAAAAATACTGTTAACTCTACTGGCAACTCGAAGGTATGTGGTGTTCTTAATCATGCTGCTTGGCTTTTGGCATAAACGATTCCAAAAGCACACTGCATGTTACTTTGATTTCTCTGTAGATTTTTCCCTGTGACAGCCTTCTAGCTCTGAATAAATAGGCAACTGGAATTCCAGTTGCTGAACTCCTCATCCCACAGCTGCATCCAAAGGACGTGTGTGTGCCTTTGTTTAGGGTTTCATACCACTGGCAAATACTACATAAAACTTTGGGGCCTGGTATACCTGTTGTTTTGACTTCGCAGTATCCAGGATGTCAGTCTACCCAACCAAATCATGCTTCTCTGCAGAACTTGGTTTATGTCTAGACTATGTTTGGGCTTTTTGACACAAATGGGGAAAAATAGGGGACCTTCAGCAGCCCACCTATGGAGTCATGCTGTGCTTGCTTATCAAGGGCAGCGTGATAAGGTGGGTAGGGAATAATGTTACTGTGCTACCAGCCTGAACGCTTGAGAAAGGAATCTGTGTCCCAATAAAAAGGGTTCAGTGGTGGTGGGGTTTTTGTGTTTTTCTGGGTCTTCATTTTTTTAATCTCCCCTCTTTTGGTTTGGGAGCTTTTTGTGCGTGTTTGCTATCCAGGAGTAACTGAAGAACAAGGTGATTACAAAGAAATAGGCAGGAAGTGTCTGGCAGAGCTGGGGAGGAGGGAAGGAGGGATCTAAGGTGTCAGGCTTTTATCTTGCCAACTGCATTGCAGCCCCTTCAAAGGTTGGTTGTCTTTGTACTGCCCACGGGGTCTGCACAGGTGCAGAGTCCCTGAGCGAGGCTGCTGCTGTGGAGAGGGCTTGGGGAATGAGTCTCCTTTCCTCAAAGAGAGGGCACGTCCTTTATTAATGTTAATTCTCTAATGCAGTTGTTATCCAGTCTTCTGGTGGCCTTAGCAAAGACGAAATTGAGAACATGGTGAAGAATGCAGAGAAATACGCGGAGGAGGACAGGCGAAGAAAGGTAAGGTGACTGCTGCGGCACCTCACAGCTTGCAGCCTGCCTGCTGGGTGCTGCCACTGTGTGCCACTGACCGTGCTGACCTTGAAGGAGCTGCAGGTTCTTATCCCCACCGCCCTGAGCCGTGGGCCCGTGTGGTTACCTGGCTATCTGCTTGCTTCCCCGTATCCAGTTCAGACCGTGCGGTTGCGAGGGTTGGGCTGGGTAACCGGCCCTGTGTGATCAGTAATCTAATTCCTCCCTGAAGAGTTACTGCGGCTTGGAGGCAGCAGTAAGCAAACTCACCTGCCTGCTGCTCAGGACTGACAGCTTTGCAACTGTAGCCAATGGTTTCTGTCACCAGTGCTAGTTGCTATTCAGCTGCCCGTTATCCTGGCTGTTTATCTGAAGGTGGCCTGCTGCAGCCAGGTTCTCACAGTGGTGGCCTTCCATTTAATTGCAGGCAGTACAGGGAAGATGCAGACTACTTAGGAGTTTATTTTAAAGCCAAATGTATAGAACCTGATAAGCAAAGCCGTGCAACACATCCTCTTCCTTCCGAAGTGGGAAGTTGCTTTCTGTAGTCCTTAAAAATCTCACTGCCTGGCACCTTGAATGCTCAGTACTTGCCCTCAGCGCAGGTGAAGCCGTCAGGAGGTGTTTGAAAGCCTCGCTGACTTTGTCAGGAAGGTCTGATGCTGGCCATGGCTGAGCGGCTGAACCTGTGATACTCGCAGGGTTAATGGTTGGAACTAATTGGCTTAATGAGGGTAGACCTAATTAATGACACTACTAAATATGGAGCATTGATTTTTAAAGCAGACACGAGGAAGGCTCAGGGATATGACACCAGCGTATGTTCAGTGCTGGCTGAAGCCGCACGCTGCATTTATCTGCTTTGTGTGCCCCTAGGCTGTGTAAAGCTGCCGCAGGTACTCACAGTAGCGAAGGGATCAGAAGAGGACTAGAGGAGAAAAAGCATGGAATAAATTCACGTGAAGCAGCCCCTCTGTGCTGTAAGAGCTCTAGATCCACAAAAGATTGGCTTAACCTGCAGGTTATGTGCAGAGCACTTGGAGACTTTGGTCTGGAAGCCCCACTGTTCAAATATCTGCATCATTGCCAGGGAGCGTCAGTGGTGGCACAGCACTTCAAGAGGCTGTGCTGAAATTTCCTGTTGCCACGCTTTGACTTTGTACTTTAAATCATGTAGGGGGTGAGTTCTGCCCTGTTACAGTCCAAGTGGGATTCATCTCTGCCCAGTTACCACATGGAGGCTGCTTTCTTAGCTGGCACTTCTGTCTCTTTATAAGATTTGCATAATTTGATTGTCAAAGCTCCCCTGTTACACCTTTCTGATCGTGGTTTTACCACCATGGAAGCAATCCTAAGTGCACAGACAGATAGCACTCTGCTGGACTTAACATCCTGCTGTCAACTCTGGCATCACACACAAAGCACACACACAGCATAGGCACTAAATAATTTATCACGCTCAGGAGACTCAGGAGGAAAGCAGGTATTATCACACTCTTGCTCAGGTAGACTCGTCTTTGAGATGGGGAGGGCTGAGTGTCCTAGAGGCTGTTGCTGATGAAATAGTTCATGCTGACAGTGGGACTGAATTATGTTTAAGAACTACCACGCCTCTGTCCTGAGAGCCTACTCAGTCACCTGTTGGTCATCCTCGCAGCACTAATTAATAGTTCCTACCCAGCACAGTGGTTGTTTCCATCGAGTTGTTACACGTACTGCTAATAAGGAAACACCAGTAAAACAACCCCACATTTGAGGTGTCTCTAGTGCCCTCGTTGCTGAAGAAGCCCGAGAGTATTCTTGAAAAGCTCTGTGGCTTCCTCAAGGAGCAG